AAAAACATTCTTTTGCGGGGGGGGGGGGGGGGCAAATTTTGAAGTTTTGCCACTGATTTATATATATATATATATATATATATATATATATATATATATATATATATATATATATATATATATATATATATATATATATATATATATATATATATATATATATATATATATGTATATATATATATATATATATATATATATATATATATATATATATATATATATATATATATATATATATATATATATATATATATATATATATATATATATATATATATATATATATATATATATATATATTACTAAATGTACCATCTTTTAAAACCCAAAAGTATGGTAAACGTTCTATTGTTTTAGTTCTAAGTAATTCAACAGATTTAACAAAAACACTGTCAAGGTCTTTACGTTTCATTTTGCATATTCTGCATGGGTATATTGCAGTAAAACTTTCCACATAACCTAATATTCCGTTTAAACCAAGATTTAAATAATTTGAGCAAGAGCAACATATATTTTAAATTCATTTCCATCTATTTTTATAGTAAAACCTTTTGTTTCTAATTCTATCATTTCTTCTATGTATACAGAAAATGCATCTTTATTCAAATACTTAAGGCGATCAGAAGAATATATAACTTCACTTAACAAAATATTCTCAAGTTTTGAATTATGTAGTGGTTTTAAACATTTTAGAATTGTACAAAAAGCTCCAATTTTGTGAACAGTGCTATGTGAACCTAGCTGGATTAGCAGTTTCTTAATCATCAAAAAAACAAAAAACTGGAATTACAAAAGTATTTTGGGAATGAGCATATTGACAACGTAATTAGTGATTTTCCCACAACTCTCCATCTTTGAAGTCTGAAACTAAACCATTAGTAGATGGTTTTGTATTACTTCTTATTTCATTAAGTACACCAGGAAGACAAAGAAAAACTTCAAGACACTGCTTTAATGAAACATATTGCCCTGTTGCTATACAAGTTGAGCAAACTACTCCTTTACCTGTTTTTTGAGTGTTTATAAAATGACCTATTGGGTATGATTTTGGTTTTATATAATACCCTTTCTTATCAAAATAATTTGTTTGTTTATGCAAACTTTCTAAGCCTTCAAAATGTTTTTAGAGGCGTAAGATATTTTCAAAGAAAATATTGTATTCATCTTTTTGGAGACCATGCTTGTCAAATATTCCTTGGGCCTCATTACTAATTCCTGTTACAATTGATGACACAAAGTCTGAACATGCATCAACAATTTTTGATGTAGTGGTTAGGGGCATATTAAAATAACTTCTTAGTTTAGAAATGAAATAAGCGGAATCTTCAAATATTCCATCGATTTCATCAAATTTTATACCAAATTTTAGCATATTATCTGGGCAAACAGGTTCGGTATTGTGAACAGCTAGAGACAAGTTATTTGAATGGAAACATCGTTGCATAATATATGCTTCTTCTAAAGTAGGTCCTAAAATAACTTCTTGATGAGATTTTTCAATATGTTTTGAAAGACTTTGGAAAGAATTATATTCCATCGGACAACCACCCTGACTGCACCCTGTTTGTTGTGAAATACTTTTAGATGACAATTATAAAAGTTGCTGCAGCTTGCAGTATATTTACAATAGGCGCAGTTAATCATGATTATAGTGTAATTAATAAAAATTCTTTTTAGTTGAAACTACGATGCCTGACAATTAATGAAGAAAAAAAAATGGCGACAAACCTAGTTTTTTTTATCATTTGCAATCCCGTGGCGCATTTGGTGAAAATAACAAAAACAGTTTTGTAAATTTAACCAAATAAATTTGTTATACTTTGCGTTAAGACAAAAACCGAAAAGATCATCAAACCAAATAATTTGGTTAAAATAACAAAATCAATTTGGTAAAGTTCACAAAAGATTTGGTATATTTTACCAAACAAGTTTGTAGCTTTTACCAAATTTACTAAACCAAACATATTTGGTTAAATTAACAAAACATGTTTTTGCAGTGTGGGTCAAAAATATAAACAGTAAACTTGTTAGCTATTTATTAAATGTTGAAAATTCTACAACATTTGACTTCAATTGTTTAGCATAGACTGGGTGGCTTTGTCGTCTCTTATACTTAATCCATGTCTTTTTAAACTCATGATAAACAGATTCACCTGCTTGTTCAGAGTAAATTCCAAACAATTATTAGTATTGGTACTTTTTAGAAATGGTACAATATGGTTAACTGCAAAATAAAATTTCCACGGTATATTTAAAGAAATATTATTAAAGTAAGTATTAATATATTCCATTAAATTAGCATAAGACATCTTGAATTCAAAAACAACAGATTCAATATCACTAATAATTTTTTCTCTAAAGGTAGCTTGCTTTATTGCTTGAAACTTTCTTAAACATTCAATTAATGGCAATAATTCACTTTCCTTGATCAACAATATCACGAGCAAGAACATCTAACTTGTTTAAAAGTCTCTTGGCATTGTTGCCATCAAATCCAATGCCATGGTAACCTCTGAAAAATATGTAATTTGAGTTTTCCAAAAATTGTAACTATTCCAATTTATGTTTGCAATTCAGGTATTTGAAATAATAATTTCTTTCTAAATTGTGTCTGGATCCTATTCATATATGATACTCTTGGATTAATAATATTTTTGTAATCAGCAATCTTTGATTTTGGTTTTCTAGCTTCTGTGCATTTACTGTAATGATAATCAATGGAATAAAGAGTTTGTTTTTTCTCCACTGTCCAAAAGACTCTCTCCTTCACACCGCAAACAATTATATTTTCCAGCATGGCTTGTAATGTCAAACATTGAGTTTGCACACTTTAAATCAAATGCAACAGAATACTAAGTATTTTGAAGATTAAGGGTATCAACTAATTTTCTAAGATTTCCATTGTGTTCAGAAACTCCTTCAACAACAGCAACAATAAAACAACGCTTCACTCCAGCATTATCAAGGTCAGGTTGGTTGCTAGTTTTATCATGCGGATTAAAAAAATTCCTAGTGACCTTTAAAAATCCTTGACCAGAATCCTCAGCAACTCTTACAATTGTAGAAAGAGGGTCAATACTCCTTTCAGTGATTATATTAAGTATAATTTACTTTTAAACGTGTTTTTAAGAAACACGTTTAAAATGCTGTTTCGGTTGCAGCAATGTCCATTGTCAGCATAGGAAAGCCTGATGTGCTTCACTTCATCAATTCAATCAAGAAGTTGTATTGATTACTGTAATAAATAAATAAAAAAAAAAAAGAAATAATTCAAAAATTCATCAACATCCTTTACATAAACCATTGATTTATTTACCATATCGCATACTTCAAAAAATTCTTCTTTTTTACATGAAAAACATTCATTCATTTCTGCTTTTAAAGCCTCTAATTTTTCAATAACATTTAGTCTTCTATGCTACTTTAAAAGCCAAAACTTTTTGTAAATATTGAACAGATTTTTTAGGTTTTACCCTGAGATAGTTGTAAACATTTTATAAGATCAATGATTGTTCCAAAAGACACTTGACTAAGATTAACACGATCACATTTAATGTCCGTAGTTTCAGCTACAATAGTCAATGGTTTCCCATGAGTAGCAATTGTGAATTTTTCACTCTAAAAATCTCTAAATCTCTAAAAATATTTTCCTTTTCCATTTTTGTTTTTAAAAATACTTGAAGCGACACGTTTTGTACTTGCTGATACCAATGCATATGCTGCATTAACTAAATTTTTTTTACAGCTTGAACAATTATATATAACAAGCTGTTTAAAATTTTTTAAATTTATCAAGGTTCATTGAATCATTCAATGAACTTATCAAGGTTCATTGAATCATTCAATTAACTTATCAAGGTTCATTGAATCATTCAATGAACTTATAAAGGTTCATCGAATCATTCAATGAATTGACAAAAATAAAGAGCTGAGTCTCAATGAATCATTGAGACACAGTTACCTTTTACAAAACTGATAAAAACAAAACTTTTAAACACTAAGTCTTAAATAAGTTTTTTATTAATTTTATCAAATAACCTGAGAAGTTTGATTTAGCCACTTATCAAGGTATTTTGTATCATTCTTTTCCAATTACTACAAATAACTTTAGGATGGTTTGCTAAATTTTGATCGTAGCTATCCCAAATAAAAGTTTTTATTTTTCCTTCAATAGCTTTAGTTATTTTAAGAAGCTTTGTTGACTTTTTACCAAAAGTTTTAAAACAAACAGCACATAAATTGTTGATCGCTATTTAGTAAAACTCAAGTCGTTGTGCACCAGAGTAGGTTTAAAATTAAAAAAACACCGCTATTTGATTAGCAAATTATAGCTATTTGGCGGATATTTTTAACTCAAAAACTATACTTTTTAATTTTTTGATTTTCATACATTTTTCCATTCCCCTAGAGATTTTACTAACTAAACATTTTTTTTCATACACACAAGGTATATATAAAAAAAATCTAATGTGGGGAGACTTCAAACCTGGCGGTCACTGTGGTTCATCGTGTTATTATTATGTGGATAAAAAAAGTTATATTTGTTTATTCAACATCTGGCAACATCTGTTAAAATAATTTAAACAATAATAAACGGGTGACTGGTACAAAAATTTTAATCTAATACATGTCAAAGTAACCTCACCTTAACCAATGTTACCTTATATCTGAAGTTTATGTCTTTGTTTTAAAAACTCCTTTAATCATATCAAACATTACAGATCACTATTTACATTAAAAGCTTGCCATTTTTTATAAAGTTGTACAGGATCGCCGGGTCGTTGCGCAGTTTATAGAATTAAAAAAAAATAAAAATAGAAATGGTCTGTGTTTCCAGAGTATGTATTCTTATGACTATGGTAAAAAATACGCCTTAAAATACAAAAAAAAAAAAAAGACTCTTATTCGCAACGGTTGAAACGTTTAATCAAATAGTTTTATTAAATGGATAAAGCAAAAATGTTGCAAATTATATATTCTAAGAAAAAATAGTTTTAAAAAAAATTTCTGTTAATTGTATAAATTTTAAAATCAAAATTGTAAAAAAAAATATTACATCACCATAACATATTAAAAAAATACAAATACTCATCTAAGTAGAAATTAAATTTAAATGCAAAAACTAATGTTAAAAAAAAAATGTCCAGTACTCTGCTTCAAAATAAAATTATTTTCAAAATAAAAGCATCACTGTTTTAAAATAGGGACAAATAACAAGAACAAAGCGAAAGAAGAAAATTTAACCAAAAGTTGATTGAATATTACCCAGTATTTAGATGAGAAATAATACTGACAAAAAACTTTAACATAATAAGAAGTCGTTTCATGTTACACGCCACACGTTAACACCAAAAGAATAATAAAAAAAAAGAACTCACTATTTTAAACCATAACTAAATTCAAAACTTTTTTATATAAAAAGATGTATAGAAAGATCGTGTGATACTGCTATTAACTTAATATATTAAAGCTGGATATAACAAATTTTTATTAACTTTGGAGAACTTTCTAATTTTAAACGGATTGATTTCAGCAACAAAAATATCGCGATTATCCTGCGTAACAGCAATATCATGCGGCATTCCAAATCCCTTTAAATAAAGTTACAAAAAAAATTAATATCACGCAAGAAAAAAACTTCACGTCAAGCTAAGATAAAAACGTCAAGTCGATAAATTTAAAATTATAGAAATGATAACTTACATTTTTTGGATGCCAATCAGAAACAATTGTATGAAGATCAGTACTGTACGTAAAGCCTGATACTTTAACGTTTGGGGCAGTCATGCTTTTTCCATTTACAACATGTAGTACACCGCCTAATAAATTTAGTATTAAAACGCTTTATTATTGTTTCAAGGTACGTTAGTACCTAGGATAAAACTTTACTAAAAACTCACTTTAACAATAGTTTTTTATTATTCAATTATGTTGCATTAAAAAATCATCAAGAATATGTAGAATTTTCAAAAAAAAATTCAAAAAAACTGAGGAAAATCTTTTTTAAATCTAAAAATAATAAGCTAAATACACACATTTTTGAATTTGGAGCTTACTTTATATATTAATCTCAAAACATAAAAGATACCTGCAGGGTAACTTATCGCTTTTGGAAAAGGTATCCCATTGTAATTTTAATGGTTTAAAAAAATTGAGTGACCAAACTGTCAAAAAATGTTTTAAGTAGCGTTTAAAAATCAGCTATTATGGGAAATGGGAAAGGTCCAAAGATTAAATGTACATAATTTTTATTACGCCATTATACTATTCTTATAATTCAAAAAAAAACAGATAATTATTTTTAGACATTACTTCTTTATTTCCAGTTAATCAGTTTGATTTATTGAGCATTTTGCTAATTACTTCCGACTTATTCTGAACAGAGTACCCTATTTTAATGCCAATGTCGGGTGCCGACACCAGGCCGCCATTGTTTTTTTTTAAATTGCGTCGTACCAATATCAACTAATTGACTCTATATTCAACAAACTTCAGGTTAAAAATTGTTTACACGTCTAAAATTATATTTAAAAAAATCAGATTTAGGATTGTTTTGCTTAACGTTATTTCACAATGCGATATTACTCTCTAAGTTTTTTTTTTTTTTTGCATTAAAAGAATGTCAATTTTGAGTGATTGAAAACCTTTAGTTTGAATCAGCATAATTAATCATGCTATGTAACTAAAAGCAATTACTGTCACTATCAAAGATTGAGTTGAAGACACAACTGATTTTGATTTTGAGTTAATTGAAATTTTACTTCCTGGAGAAAAGGTTAAAGGAGCTACATCTACTGGTAACAACATAACAGAAGCTTATAACGTTTAAATTAATCTTTTTCTGTTTCAGATAAAGAATAAAAAGATATCTAGCCTCAGAAACGGCAAAAAAAAATTTAATAAAATTTAAAAGAACCAAGGTACCTTGGTCGAAGATCTGAAAAACTTGGTTAAAATTTATGAAGAAAGTGAATCTATGGGTGAACACATTGTCCCATGGTTAGTTGAACATGATTATAAAAAGTTTTTTGATGCTCCAAATATAAGATAGACCAAATATGAGCAATGAAAAACTCATTATACACAGGTATAACTATTCCTGTTGAAAAAGAAATTAGGCGTAATAGACTAGATCAGAAAAAAGCAGAATATATCCTTGATTTCCTTTTTAATAGCAGCCTTCTCCAAGACGTTGCATAATGACTCACAAGTATTAAATTTGACTCAAATGGTGTATAGTGAAAATTTTCTCGTGCAATTTTTCAAATCGTTTAATGGTGAAAATATCTCGTTCAGTTTTAACTGCGAAAATGCGTCATACAATTACGTTTTATAATAAAGTTTTTAGATGAAAGAATTACTCTCTATTATCGTTTAGCAGTTAGTGGCAAATACTTCATACAATTAAAACATTTTAATAAAATTTTTTGGTAGGATTCTATGATATTGCTGCTGCAGATAAATTGTCTATGTTGCAAGATATATCTTTTAAGTAAAAGAATAGAAAGTAATATATTTGAACGCAGCAAAGGATATTACAAAACTAAGTTCAATTGTAGTGTGACCTGCCTTAATTCTTCACTGCCAATACTTGCTTTGAGTGATTCTATTGACAAACAATTACAAAAGATTTCCATATCACCTATTGATACGATTTGTTATGAATGTAAAAATTTAGCCAAATCTTTATTAGAACTAAAAAGAGGGGTAAACAGATTTTATTTTAAGGTATTCTATTCTAAGGGGTAAACAGATTCTATCTGTTGATTAGCCTCATACCTCTTCTTCATCTATTAGGCTGGCGCAGATGTATTTTTAATACATTGTTTCTATTTTAGGATGTTGAATGCTGGATCTTCTTGACTCAATGCATCAGTTTTGCTTGTGTCTCTGTTTTTATGATTAGGCAACTTATTCTATTATCTCCTAATGAGGGTACAGCTCTAAAACTCAGTTTTATGGTTCTGAGGCTGGCCGGTAGTCAGATTTCCCGAACTCTGTGGTAGCTCTCAGAGAAGCTGATTCCATCAACAGCTGAAAAATATCAAAGTACTAACAGTGCCATGTTACACATGGTGTTCCTGTTTGTAATTTTGATGTGCATTGCCAAGGCCACATTGAAGCCCTTTGTTACGGCTTAGGGTTTATTAATAGTAATGAGCCAATTGCTTGGGCTATCAAACAGTGTAATGAGTACTATCTATGCTTCGAATCAAGTTCTTTAACAAATTTAAAAAAAATAAACAAAGTACCAAAAACTAAAAAACCCAAAAAACCATTATCCTTGCCAAGTTCTCTAAACCTATCATTCACTAATATTTGTGGCCTTTGAAGTAACTTTTCTTCTGTTGTCTTATCTCTAGCAAAGTTCACCAGACCTGCTTGCTCTTTGTGAGACTAATTTGAGTTCAGCTGTCTCATCTTGTGTTGATGGTGATATTCTTTTAATTCATAAAGACTCCAATAGTCACATGCTTTGCCTAAGCATTTACATTCGTAAGAATTTATCCATTTGTCGGGAAACTAGGTTTGAATCCACAGACTACTCTTTTATGTGCTTTCGTTTAGCACCACTTCACTCTATCACCTTTCTCTTTGTTCTATATCTCTCTCCTTCATCACCCTTTTTGATGTTATTTTTGATCATACTAACCAAGCCATCTCTCTTTATCCATTGTCCAATATTGTTGTTGTTGGTGACTTAAAGGCTCATCACACTAAATGGTTTTGGCTCTAGTTTCAGTGACTCTGCAGGCATTAAAGCCCACAACTTTTGCCTTTCTCAATCCTTTCCGGCTCGCTTTCCGGACAACCCGAATCATTTACCTTCTCTACTTGACTTATGTCTTGTTTCTGATCCTAGTCAGTGCTCAGTTTCTTCACATTCACCATATATAGCCATCAAACAGGTTGATCCATTGCTTGACATTTGTATCACTCCAGCTTCTGTATCTTAAGTAATTTCCTACTTAGACTCTTCTACAGCCTGTGGCCCTAAGTGTTATCTGAAGCTGTCTTCTATACTTTCAACACTATTCAACAAGTAATTATAAGAGTCTGTTTTCCAGCCTGCTGGAAAGCAGCATCTGTTATGCCTATTTTCAAAAATTCTGGAGAGCAATCTGATTCGTCTAACTACTGTCCCATTAGTCTTCTTCTTTTCATAAGCAAAGTTTTTGAACCTTTAATTAACAAACACTTAATCTCGAATCTCGAATCTAATAACTTACTTTCTGATCATCAATATAGATTTCAATCTTCTCGCTCTATGGGTGATTTGCTAACAGTAATAACCAATAGGTTTTATCATGCATTAGATAAAGATGGAGAGGTTAAGATCATCGCTCTTGACATTTCTAAAGCTTTTAATAAAGTTTGGCATGCTAGTCTTCTCCATAAGCTTTCGTCTTATGGTGTATCTGGTAACATCTTTAAGATTATTGAATTCTTTCTTTCTAATCGTAGTATAAAAGTTGTCCTCAATGGACACCACTCTTCTTTATATTCTGCAACTTCAGGGGTAAATCTAGGTTCAATCATTGGCCCTATACTCTTTTTAATTTACATTAATGATCTTCCAGATATTCTCATATCTAAGGTAGCATTGTTCGCTGATGATACTACCATTTATTCTTGTTACGATAAGAAGCCAGTACTCTCTGATTGCTTGGAGTGGGCATTTGAGCTTGAAAAGGATCTCACTTCTGCTACAGCATGAGGCTCACAGTGGCTGGTGAACTTTAATTCAGATTAAACTCAATTTTTTTCAGGCAATCATTATTGCAATATTTTAGACCTATCTATATTTATGAACAGTAATGTACTCAAAGAGTCATCTACCCTTCATCTTCTAGGATTAACTCTCACTTCTGATCTTTCTTGGAAACCATATATTAAATCTGTTGCAAAATTAGCATCTCCTAAGGTTGCAATTTCTTTAGCGAGCTCAACACTTTTTTACTCCGGATTCTATTCTCTATCTCTATAAATCTCAAATCCAACCTTGAATGGAATACTGTTGCCATATCTGGGGCGGATCTTCTAATGATACCATTTCTCTTTTAGACTTTATAAACTTCTTCCAGTAACTTCCAACTCTAATAGTGCTTGCTTGCAGCCTTGTTAGAAGCGAAGATGTTGAAAAAAATATATAATAAAATATTCATGATAAATATTTTAAAATGACAAGTTTTGTGTAAAAAAATTTTAAAATGATTGTTTATTTTAAAAAGCTTTTTAAAATAAAGGATCTCTCCAAATCAACAGCAATTTTTAATTTAATGTAGAAGTTACTTAAGGAGAGGATTTAATATTTCTGGCCAGAAATTGTTTTCCGCAACTCCACTGCACAATCATGTCAAAAAATTGTATGAAAAGGAAAGACAAAATAAAATCAAACCTTCCATTTTTCTAACTCCACAAGAAAGATAATAGGTAGCATGTTGATTGTAAAGAAAATGCGTGAAATGAAAAATGTCTATTGAAGTTAGTATTATATAAAAAAGATATAGGATATTAATGATGAAAATTCAAAGCTAATACATAGAAAAATAGCTGAGATGATTGCTTTAGATAACTAACCATTTAGTGGTTAATGGTGATGACTTAACGGCGATGACTCATACAATTACAGTTTTTTAAATACTTTTTTCTTTCTTTATCATTCCTTATTTCCTAGTAACTCCCAACTTAAATAATAGTTGCATGAAGCCTTGCTGATTAAATTAAATAAATTAACTTAATTCAAAACAAATAAACAAAAAATTATTTTATGCAATAAAAATAGCCAATAAATAAAATAATACAAAATAAAATAAAATAAAATAATACAAAATAAGTTACTATTTAAAACCCATCAAAAATATGGCTTTTAAAAACATTTTAAAAACAATGTGAATTTTTTTTAACACGTGATAATTTTCAAATGTCACATGTTTAATAAGTAAATGATTACCACTAAAATGTTTAACTTATCACTGAAATGTTAATTTCAAATATTAGAATTATTAGAAATAATAATTTTGCTATGCACCTTTACAAAATATAAAGATAAATTAAAAAAATCAAATACCATTATTTTCATTATAAGCAATTGCAAACACAGCGCCTTCAAATTTTTTTGATATATGAGTGATAAAGTCTCCACTTTGAGAGTCAAAAACAAGAATCCTTCCATTCTCACGATCTGCCACATAAAGTAAATTATGTGCTTCATCAAGTGCTAGCCCATGAACAACAACCATGAAAAAAGGTTTAGGAAAATTACCTACAAAAAAAAAAGTCATAAGTCTGCCACATTTATTCGAGACCTAATTTTATAATAAAAAAAAATTCAAACAAGAGTGTAGTAAATACAGTACTAAGGCATTTACTGCACTCTCAGTATTATAATACTAATACTAATATAAATACCTCAATCAAAATGATATATTATCATTTTAAGGAAATTATAAAATACTATTAGAACCTGGTCTAAAATAAAGGTCTTTAAATGAACCCCTTGGCATAAGATAAGTTTTTTAAAATATTTGTAACACCACTACTTATGCATTGGGGAAACTATTCCTAAATAATACAATTGAAAATTAATATCAGAAATTGAGAATGCACCTAAAGCAGAATATCCATTAATAATTCAACATCCATAACCCTTGTAATAACCAACATCTTTTTTATAAGCCAACAAGTCATTAAACTGCTTCATACACAAAATAAACGCACTTATAACAAGTATATTAATAATAAATGATGCTTAACACATGATAACAATAATAATTAAACAAAATTTAAATATTTAACCACACTGCACTTAAAGGATATAACACAAGTTTAGCAATAATTTAAACTATTTATACAATTCAAACCTATTTTTGTTAAATAGTTTGAAGACAATTTCTTGGAGATCTGCCTATCAACTGTGCCATTAGCAAAAAATTTAAGTATACGAGAGTTGCAATACCTATAATAAAAAATTTACTTAACAATTATATTTTATAGACACAAGCACACATATATTTTAAATGTTGACATCGAAGGAGTTTAATTAAATATATATTTTTTTAAAATAAAACCTCTTTTTATGGATTTAACCCTATTTGTTAAAAATATTTAATTTTAGGATATTTTGAGGGAATAATGATACCTTTGTTATCAAGAATATTAAAAAATAGTTAAAAAAAAAAAATTGAAATATTATATAAAACCGCCTAAATTTTTGAAATAACATTCTTTGTAAGAGTTTCTTTTTAAGAGTTTTTTTAAAGAGACTTTTTTTTCACATAAGAATTGTTGTATTTTTAACACTTTCACTTTCATGACTTTCCTGCTATAACTATTCATTTTTATAATATTGCAACAATTCTAGTGAAAACTTCCTTATAAAGCTTTAAAATGCCTAGCTACAGCTGAATTTTCCTCTTCACCTTGTTGCACACTCATTTTAGACAATAGCTTTAGCCCTGTTACATCGATAACATTTTCCACAAAAACACTCTAATTAAAAACATCAGGATATGAAATAATGGCTAGTGCAATTTTTGGGACATGGAACAGATATGTTTTGAAGATTTAAAAACTGGTGCGTATACTGCTCTTAACTTAAGATTGATTTCAAGTATCCAGAGTAAAGACACAAAACATTTTGGAGACATTAGAGGATGCTGCTTTATTGTGAATTTTTGTTGTTTGCTTTACAGCTTTTTTGTGGTTAAAATACAAGACCTTTTAGAGATGTTGCTTTTTCATGAGATCTTTCTTGTTGCTGACAATTTCCTTCATAGATTTGTTTAGTTTTCTCAAATTTTTTCTTTCAAAACCTTTTTCAACAAATACATCAATGAGAACAACAACTCATTATCAATATTATTTACAGTACACAAACATAATGCTCTAACAACAAAACCATTTTAGGGTCATGGCATGAATTCAATTTAATTTGAATGCATATGATTATATTTTTGCAATATATTTTTAAATAATATGTACCAGTTTTTTTTTATAGTAACTGAATTGTTAAAATAGTTTTGTGTATTGGTCGGTAGATTCTATTGTGCATTGAATACTTTTATGTTGCTTATTAATTAGATCTAAAAACTTTTATACATTCTTATTCTACTCATAATCTTGAGTGTCATCAACACATCTTTTAAATGATTTGAATATTATTATTAAGAGCATTACTTTCATGGTACTGTTAAACCCATAAGAAGAAGTTTGTATATATATATATATACAGGCCCATAGGAACAAAAATTATACTAGGGGGGGGGGGGGATGGCAGTGCTGGATTAAGGGGTCCCAAAATAGTTTTAAGGACTTTTCTTTTTTTAAGTCATTTTTTTAGTCAATTTTCATCAAAATTATTTATTTGAAAAATTATTGGGGGGCAAATGCCCCTGCTGACCCCCCAGTTACTACGGATATATATATATATATATATATATATATATATATATATATATATATATATATATATATATATATATATATATATATATATATATATATATATATATTATATATATATATATATATATATATTATATATATATATATATATTATATATATATATATATATATATATTATATATATATAGTTGGTTGTCAAATTATTAGGAACACTTTACTTTTTAAGTAATTTTAAATTTAAAAACTACTATGAATAAATATGTATCTTGTAGTTACTTTTTTATTGTTTTTATTGTTAGATAGCTTTATTTAGAATATAAAAAACATAAATTACTTATTCGTAGCTATTTATTTTTTTATAAAAAGTTTTAACATAACAAATAAGGTAATAATCTTATTATTTTGTAATGCCACCCTTAGCTACAGTAATAGCTTTTAGGCGTCAGGGCATGCTTACTATGCAGACTTTTGCATTGTGTTGGAGACTGGGGTTGCTATGCCACTCTCTTATAAGGGTTTTTATCAATTGCTGCTTGGTAGTGATGATTTCTTTGGCAATTTCCTGTTTTGTGAACTCCCATATATTTTCTATAGGGTTCATATCAGGTGAATTCCCTGGCCATGGCAAAACAGGCACTTTTTTTTAGTTAGAAATGCTGTAAGACTTCTAGCTTTATGGTAAGGTGCTGAGTCATGCATGAACATTTACTCTTCATTACCAGGGAACTGGAGTAGGAGCCTGTTTTCCAGTACTTGCTTTTACTGGTCCTGGCTCATGGTCTCTTCCACATGTAAAGGCAGCCATACCCTTGACTGATATCACAGACCACACCATTACACTCACAGAATGTTTAACATTTTCCAAAAGGCAGTCCAGGTAGAATTTTTCTCCTGGGTGTCATCAAACAAATAAGGTCTTGACCATTAAAACTTGAAATGTTGATTCATCTGAGAAGCAGACCTGTAAAACATTTCAAAGATATTTTAAATTATGAACCTTAAATTTTTCTGGTTTTTTACAATATTATAAATTATATTTATTCCAATCTTCAATAGTCATATGCTGGTGTTTTTTAGCCCATTCCAGTCGCTTTTTTTTCATGGCTTCAGTTAAACATGGTTTTTTGGTTGGACAACGAACCATTAAATTCTCCTCAGCCAATTTTCTTTGAACCGTCTTTATGGAGACGTTAATTCCTTCATTATTTATCATTGTAGCTAGTTGAGCTACACTTTTTTTTGTTTTTAAGACAGATGTCTCTACATTTACGGTCAAAATGTGGATTAGTGATCCTTTTTCTGCCACTTTTTCTGGTTCTAGAGGCACATTTGTATAAATTTTTCTTTTAATTCGACTCAAGTGTTTTAAAGTAAGTACTTTGAAACACTTGCAATTGCTGCTATCTCTTTATCATCTCTTAAATTATTAACTATAACTAATTGAACTATTAACCAATACTAAGATTTCAATAGTTCTGAACTCAAAAAACTTGCAAAAAATTGATCCAAAAATAAACTTACTCCAACCACACTTTTCAACAATTGACAGCTAATTGAGTAATAACCTCACTTTTTGACAGATAGCGTGGACTGACACAATTGCCACAGTTTAAAAACAATTATAGTTATATTAGTAACTAAAATACACAAAAAAAAATATATTTAAAAACAATTTAATCGCTCGCAAAAATCATTTAAACTTTAAAATTAGTTAAAAAGTAAACTGTCCCTAATAATTTGGCATCCCAAAATTTTTTTCATTTGGCATCCTGTGTATATATATATATATATATATATATATATATATATATATATATATATATATATATATATATATATATATATATATATATATATATATATATATATATATATATATATATATAAAACAGTATATAGATAAAATTTAATAAAAAGCAATGAGTAGAAACAAAAACTCTTACCCATCTGCAACAAAGAAACTACCATCTTTCAAAACAGCAACATCAGTTGGTTTACAAAAATGATCATAATCATTTCCTGGAGTATAACGCTCACCAAGTGTCAGTAGAACTTCTAATGTTGGAGATAGTTTAAATACCTAATAAAAAATAAACTAAAATATAATTGCTATAAAAGCTGCTATTAAAATCAAAAACTTAGTTTTTAGTTTTACTGAGAACCACAATGCTCTATGCAACCTAAATCCATGCTCTTTTTAAATTTTCTAAATTGAAAAAGTGCATGGATTCAGTAAGATCAAACAAACTACAACTTTATTATAACATTTTATAATTTAAAAATCCTAGTTGGTTGCTTAAAGTTTATGCATTTTGTGTGTTAATATAATTTTCCGCCAATTATTAAAATTAACTGATTTAATTATTTTAACATTATTTTTTGACAAAAAAATTATTACTGAATTATTATTTTTTTAAAGTGATTTTATTTTGAATACCTCATTAATTACAAATGACATAATAAACTTATACCTGATGAGCACCAACATCTGTAACCCATATATTTCTTGCATCATCAACAGTTACACCATGAGGCATTAAAAACCTATAAAATTTAGGATATAGATAAATATATATACATGTATATATATAATAAACACAAATATATACTTATATCTACATCGATCCTAATTCCTAGGGCTGTGTATATAGATACACACACACATATATATACATGCACATACAACATTTAACAAAACACAAATTCAGTTTTAAAAAGGATTTACATGTCTGCACCACCAGATTTAACAAACTGTCCAGTTTTTCGTGACAACCATACCAGAGTGTCTTTTGCAATAGGCTTGTAAAGAGAAACATTTATCTGCTGCGTAAGAGGATCAAATGTGCTAAAACAAAATGCAATTGCTATTTAGAATACGATAATAACATTTTTAAAATACAATACCATAACAACATACTATTTCCATTAAGAAATACTTTATAGTTTCAAAAATAATATGTGAAAAAAAAAAAAAAAAAATTAAAGTTTTAACTTATTGCTAATTTTGATTCAAGGAAATAAATGATTAAAAAACATTTCAGTGTGTCAGAGACACATCAGTGTGTCAGAGAAACATCAGTGTGTCAGAGACACATTAGTGTGTCAGAGACACATCAGATGTGTCTCTGACACACTGAGATTTGTCTCTTAACATGTCAAGTCTTAAAAAAAAAGCTTTGACAATTAAAAATGAATCTTTTTTTTAATAAAACTCCTAGCTTTTAACAAGCCAACCCATGTATTAACAGATTTACACTTTTCATTAATATTCTTTTGCACACTTGCACCATATCATTCAATTAAAGCTAGAGACAGATTTGCAGATAAATTTTATTTTTGATGATTGCAACAATTATTTTTTCCATTTATAATGAGTGATAACATGCATGTTCTTGTATAAATGCACAAAATTATTTTTACTGTTTTTAATTTATAATTAAATAAAAAACAAAAAGATTTCTCTTTTATCTTTTTCAAACCAATACTAAAATAATAAAAATTAGTAAATAAACTAAAAAAACAACAACAATAAAACTAATAAACAAATAGATAAATAAAAAAAATATATTTTTTCAAAATTAATGAATATAATCTGCATCACTATGAAAAAGTTCACCAAAAAAAAAGATAAGTTCAAAAATTTTCTTAAACTATGTACTTAGTTTAATATGAAGTATAATAAGCAATTGTCATGTAGTTAATACATTTTAATTGATGTTTAATGCCTAAATTATGGCTATCAATCAAAAATTGCAAGATTTTATTTAAATTACAACGAACACCGTTGATTAAGTTTGCAATCTGCATAAGTTTTGCTCATTTTGAAGGCATGCAATTTGTTTTCAAACATGATTCTTTGATCATAAAATTAAAAAAAAATGCATTTTAATAAACTGTTGTGTATTATATTGAGGTGGGGCGGGGGGGGGGGGGGTAAATGAAAACTTCCTTAAAACCTCCTTGGGTGCACAACTTAACCAAAAATTAATTATTTTGTAAGATAAAATGACTCATATTTGGTTGCCTTGTAGGTGAGCCACTGATTGATTAGAATTTTATATCTTGATGTTGGTATTTTTAATAATGTATTTATGTTTTAACAAAATATTTAATTTATCATAAAAAAACAAAATTAGGATAGAAATACTGCTTAGAAAAAAAAAACTATAAAATATAAAATGCATTAATATAAAAAATACTTACTTTTCGTCCCAAGCTCGATTTGCTCTATGAAAAATTACAACATCTTCATTATCAATATCTACACCTGATACTTGTCCAACATCTAATATTTCACTATTCCAAGTCTCATCATGAGCATATTGATTTTCAACAAACTCATATGCTTTAGTTTCTAATAAATTAAATTTTTGTCAATAAGATTAGTTTTTCAATATCATCAAGCTACATTTTTAACAACTTTGTCTCTCTCAAACCCCCTTCCTTCCCTCCACAAATCCTCCTCCTAAAAAATAATAAAAAATCTGTAATATTAAGTTTTATGATAAGCAGTTCTTCAGTATTTTTGTAAAAAAGCTTTTCAGGTAGGAAAAGCAAACATTTTTTGTTATGCTATTGTACATATTAAAAATTTTAAAAAGATTTTTCATGTGCTTACAATTCAAGAGTTATCTTTTTTATATTATCTTATCTATTAAATATAATAAAAAATAGTGGGACAAACAGTGGATTGGTACACAAAAACCAATGTTAATAACCTGGATTAAAATTGGTTATTAAAAATCTAATAAATTTCTAGCTTATTAAAAAATTTAAAAAAATATTTTTTTTGAGGTAGTATACTTAAACAATATAACTTTGTTACAACCGCCTCTTCTTTCAACTAATTTGTTCAGAATAGATGGTTATAATAAAAAAAAACAATATAATTGTGTATGATATGCAGTTTATTTTTTGCATGATAACACTAAGTTGAGCTCGCTGTTACAAAACAAACATAGATTTCAATTTCAGACAGGCTTTCAGAAAGAAATATGAAAATACAATAATAGAACCAGCTGAAGATTTGAGACAAACTGCAAAGAAAATAGAGTTTTATCTGCAAGAATGTCTTCTTTTTTTAAAAAAAATCTTCTAATCACTGGAGAAATGCTCATAAGATTTGATTTGCTTTTGAGAAATAATATCTGGAATAAAACAAGTTTTTAGAAAGAAAGTGTGAAGAGAATAGGTGATAATGAGAGGTATTTGCATTCTGAGGAAACTGGTAGGCTTGTATGACAAAGCTGGATTTGACAACACTTTAACTAGAGTAGTAGAAAAAAGTAGCAACAAAATCAATAAGTACCAACCCCTAAAAAAAGTTTAAAACCTGAGTAAGTACCAACCCCTAAAAAAAATTAAAAACCTGAGTAAGTAACAACCCCTAAAAAAAATTAAAAACCTGAGTAAGTACCAACCCCTAAAAAAAATTAAAAACCTGAGTAAGTACCAACCCCTAAAAAAAATTAAAAACCTGAGTAAATACCAACCCCTAAAAAAAATTAAAAACCTAAGTACCAACCCCTAAAAAAAAATTAAAAACCTGAGTAAGTACCAACCCCTAAAAAAAAATTAAAAACCTGAGTAAGTACCAACCCCTAAAAAAAATTAAAAACCTAAGTCTACCTAAAAGAAGTTGCAGTGATAATATAATGACTTTCTTAAGGAAAACAATGTCTTATTACCCATTCATAAGACCAGATTCCTTAACTTTATAAAAAGTGAGTCAAAATTTCAAGTATTTTTAACACATTTTAGAAAATACTAGAAAAGCTGAAACTAAGAATCATGGGTAAAATGCAAGCTTAAGCAAAAAAGTTTAGAAATCATGAGGAAAGAAACGAGAGAAAGTAGATCTAGAAGGTAGAGTAGGAAAACCACACATAAGACTTGTTATAAATGTTACATCATATAAAACTGACTCTTGAATGCTCCAAAGAAAGTGATCAAGCAATAGCTGTTTATAATATCTTCAAACACTATGAGTTGCTAGATCAAATTATTGGGGTGTGTGCCAATACTACAGCTAGCATTACAATTCAGAAACATGAAGCCATAAAGAATACTATTGTTCATGCTTTGGGAAAAGATGTTCTCTGACACCACATATATGAGAAGCATATGTCTTATGTCATGAAACTTGTTTTTTGTCCAACAAAAAGCACAATGTTTTAGTAGAAACTAATAAATTCTGTAACACAACACATCAGAGATACTTACCAGAGTAGAGATCACAAGTTTTTTTGTCAACTACTAGCTTGCTTTTTTGGCAAACAGATACTTTATTTCTCCTTCAAGCAGCCAGGAGCTCACAATAAGGCTAGGTTTGTGATTGCCTCCCTGATGATCCTGCACACGACACAGAACTTTAACTTAAATGATTTAGAGACAACACTGTTTGCTGCTTTTGAAAGCTTAGTTGAAAACATATTTCATGATGCTTTTCAGGCTTATTACTTTACAATAGTATCTCAGAAAAACAGCTTAGAATATTACTCATATTACTCAAAATAATACTCAAAAAAAAAAAAAAAAAATTAATAATTATCAAAACTTGAATTTAGATTTTTTGTCTCTTACAAAAGTTGCCCACCTCTTTAAAGTTATATTTCATTTTATAGGTTGAAAAAAAGACAGCAAATGTAAAAAAAAAGTGAAAAAAATGTAAACCAGTGTCTTGTAAGCATTATATAGAACAAAAATATTTTTTAATATAAAAATCTGCTAAAAACAACTACTTCACCCAATAGTAGACATATATAACTATTATAGGGTGATATATACAACTACTTCACCCTTAGTACACACACACACACACACACACACACACACACACACACACACACACACACACACACATCTGTGTGTGTACATTGGGGTGAAGTCCTCTAGGCCAGTCTCCCATAAAACGGTTTACGGGAGCCATTTACGGCACTCGCAAAAGTATAATTTTTCTCTTAAAAGTATAACTATCATGGTAACTAAAATGAAAAACACTAGGTCATTTTTATTAAAGAAAAAAAAAAAAATTGCGTAATAAGCTGAAATGTTTTTTTTTCCTCAATAAGTTGAAAATTTCTGGAATAATCTGACATCAAAAGCTGTATATGCAGATAACATTTATATATTTAAAAATAAAATAAAATCTATTTCGATAAACACTGTCTATAAAGTAAATGAATGAATGAAATCTTGAATTTTGGTATTATAAAATACATTTGTTTCATATGTACATTGTTTTTACACTTAATTTAGGGGCATATTGTCAGTGTCCATTTCTTGGACCTGTATGGTATATGAACATGTAATTTTGTAAACTTATGCTTATAAATCTTAAAATAATTTTTTTAGTATTTTTATCTAAGTTTATATTCATCAACAAATTTCAAATTTCATCCAATAATTTCTTATTTTTCGAAAATTATGACCATATAAAATTTCAACCCCCCTCAATTTGAGGGGCTGTAAACTTTGTAGGGTCATAAAAACTAAAAACTAAGAGGTTATTGCATGAAATTTGAAATTTGTAGATGAATATAAACTTAGATAAAAATACTAAAGAAACTATTTTGTCAACTTGTTGCTCCCACTTTAAGGGCTGGGTGGGCCCAAAAATTTTTTTTTTTGTCCCCAAGCTTTAATCACCACAACTTTTTTTTTAAGTATGAACATACAAAAGTTTGGAGTTTGCAAAATACGTGTAAGTGTCAAAACTTAAACATCTAAAAATCCAGTGAACACCACTGTATATATATATATATATATATATATATATATATATATATATATATATATATATATATATATATATATATATATATATATATATATATATATATATATATATATATATATATATATATATATATATATATATATATATATACATAGCAATAATAAAAGTAATTTTTTTTTGTTGGTAGACAGTGCTGAATACAAAAATAGAGCAAATATATTACGTGATAAATGTGTAAAAAGTATAATATAAAGTAATATAAATAAGTATAATAAAATATAATAATAGGTATAATAGAGTATAATAAATTAAAAAATAAGTATAATAAATTATACTAAAAGTATGTGAGTTAAGTGGCCTTTCCATTCTTCATACTATAAGTCAAGACTATGGGTTGCAAACTGTTGGATTATATATAGATGATGGCCTTTGCTGATTTCCTGGGATTAATGGACCACAATCTGAGAGAACCAAGAAAAACATTGTTTATCTTTTTAAGGAGAAATTTTATCTAAAACTTATAATCAAAACCAACTTGAAAATTTTAAACTTTCTCAATGTTACCTTCAACCTAGGCAAAGACTTAAAAGGTAAGCAGATTCTATCTGTTGACCAGCCTCGCACCCCTTCGTCATCTATTAGGCTGGCGCAGATGTATTTTTAATATATTGTTTCCAGTTTAGGATGTTGAACGCTGGATCTTCTTGACTCGATTCATGGGTTTTGCTTGTGTCTCTGTTTTTATGACTAGGCAACTCATTCTATTATCTACAAATGAGGGTACAGCTCTAAAACTCAGTTTTATGGTTCTGAGGCCGGCTGGTAGTCAGGTTTCCCGAACTCTGTGGTAGCTCTCAGAGAGGCCGATTCCATCAACAGCTGAAAAATATCAGAGTACTAACAGTGCCATGTTGCGCATGGATGGTGTCCCTGTTTGTACTTTTGGTGTGCATTGCCAAGGCCACATTGGAGCCCTTTGTTACGGCTTAGGGTTTATTAGTGGAAATGAGGCAATTGCTTGAGCTATAGAACAGTGTACTAAGTACTATCTATGTTTCGAGTCAAGTTCTTTAACAAATTTAAAAATTTAAAACCACAGTCATCACCAAGTTTGCTAAACCTATCATTCACCAATATTCGTGGTCTTCGAAGTAACTTTTCTTCTGCTTTTCTGACCTGCTTGCTCTTTGTGAGACTAATTTGAGTTCAGCTGTCTCATCTTGTGATCTTAGTGTTGATGGTTATCTTCCTTTAATTCGTAAAGACTCCAATAGTCACATGCTTGGCCTGGGCATTTACATTCGTAAGAATTCACCAATTTGTCGGGAAACTAGGTTTGAATCCACAGACTACTCTTTTATGTGCTTTTGTTTAGCACCACTTCACTCTATCACCTTTCTCTTTGTTCTATATCGCTCTCTTTCATCTCAAGACTGCACTCTTTTTGATGTTATTTCTGATTATATTGACCAAGCCCTCAATCTTTATCCATCAGCCAATATTGTTGTTGTCGGTGACTTTAATGTTCATCACACTGAATGGCTTGGCTCTAGTGTCAGTGACACCGCAGACATTAAGGCCCACAACTTTTGCCTTTCTCAATCCCTAACTCAAATAGTCAACTTTCCAACTCGCTTTCCAGACAACCTGAATCATTTACCTTCTCTACTCGACTTATGTCTTGTTTCTGATCCTAGTCAGTGTTCAGTTTCTTCACACTCACCCTTAGGTGCATCTGATCATGGTTTGGTCTCTCTAAAACTATTATCTCATTCTTCTTTAACATTAGAATCCCCCTATCATCGTACATCTTACAACTACCTTAAAGCTGACTGGGACTCTTTTCGTGACTTTCTACATGATGGCCCCTGGGTAGAAATCTTTCGTCTCCCTGTTGACAAATGTGCTTCTTACATAACTTCGTGGATTCAGGCTGGCATGGAATCCTTTATTCCCTCTTGACGATTCCAGGTCAAGCCTCACTCTTCTCCATGGTTTTCCTCACATTGTGCTGCTGCAATTGCCAATCGAAACCATTACTTCCATATCTATCAGCAAAACAAATCTCCAGAAAACAGGCGTCTGTTTATTACTGCTAGGAACCATTGTAAAAAGGTTTTGTCTAACGCCAAAGCCCGCTAATCTCAGACCATGAAATCTTGTATTTTATCACAAAAGTTAGGCTCTCGTGACTTCTGGAGAGTCTTTAATAGTATCAATAATAAGGGCAAGTCTGTAATTCTACCTCTTTTGTATGGTTCAGACTTTGTCACCTCACCTAAAGACAAAGCTGAATTGTTTGCCAAGAACTTTTCATCAATATCATCTCTAGATGCCACTAGTTGCGTTCTACCTGATATACCCGTCAAACAGGTTGATTCATTGCTTGACATTTGTATCAAAAATCTCAAATCTGGCCTTGTATGGAATACTGTTGCCATATCTGGGGCGGATCTTCTGGTGATGCCCTTTCTCTTTTGGACAAGGTGCAAAAACGCATTGTAAACATAGTTGGACCTGCTCTTGCAGTCAACCTTCAACCTCTGTCACATCGTCGCAATGTTGCTTCTCTTTCTCTTTTCTACAATTACTATAATGGGCACTGCTCTAAAGAGCTAGCCTCTTTTGTGCCATCTACTAAAATTCATTCTCGTGTTACTCGTCATTCAATTAAGTCTCATCCTTTTTCTGTTACTGTTCCTAAGTGCTCCAAAAACTCTTATTCTTCTAGTTTTTTTCCTCGAACATCAGTTCTTTGGAATTCGCTTCCGTCATCTTGCTTTCCTGATTCATATAATTTGCAATATTTTAAGTCGTCTGTCAATCGTTATCTTGCTCTACAATCTTCATCTTTTCTCTTCCAGTAACTTCCAACACTAATTAGTGGTTGCTTGCAACCTTGTTGGAAGCAAAGATAATTAAAAAAAAAAAAAAAACCTGTCAGAAAATAGCCATTCAGAAAACCAGATGACCACCTATTATACATCAACATAAATTCTAACCACCCCCTAGTAATAATAAACCCATACCAACTATTTTTTTGCTAACTTTTTTTAAACTTCCTTGTTAGATGAAATATAACTAATCATATTAGTAATATTTCATCTAGCAAGGAAGTTTTCAATAGAGCAACACCATTTTATAACAATGTATTAGCAACAGGTGGATATAATGAAAAGACTACTTTCAAAAAATCTCGCCTCATCCAAACCAAAATCAAGATTATGAAACATTATTTGGTGTAATCATCTGCTTTTGTAAAAGTATAAAAATCAACATCACAAAAATTTTTCTTAATCTAATTGAAAAGCATTTTCCAAAAACACATAAGTCTTGCGAAATTTTCAATAGGAATAATTTAAAAGTCAGTTATTGCTGTCTTCCTAACATCACCAATATTATTAATTCACACAATAAAAAAGCATTATCTAATGTTTCCAACACATTTATTCCAATGTTTAACTGCCGGCGACCTGCACAACGTCCTTTGCATAGTTAATGTCTTAGTAAAAATATAATTAGTCTGCAATGTATAAAAATTACCGCAGAATAGTGGCTTCAATTAACTACTATTGTTAGCTAAACTTATTGTCATAATTTGAATCCAAAACTATAAAAGTAAATTTCATTAAAATTTTTTGAGTAAAAGTTTTTTCCAGCAAAAACATGTTACTATTGTATAATGTATTGTATTTTTGTATATTTTATAAATTTTGTAGTTGTTATGGTTGTTTTAGTATCACGAAGAGTGTAACCGTTAAATTTAAGAGATGAGTTAGAAAAAAAGTTTATTCCAAATAGTTATGCATTATGATTGCAAGATGTAATAAGATCAGACCCAACTATGAGTGGTAGAATTCTAGACTTAACATTTGTAATAACAAAAAATAAAAAAATTTAGAAACTTGAGAATGAAGCAATACACTCTTCAATGTTTTTATATTTGGTTTTGGCTTTTTTGAGGAGTAATGACTCTTTGAAACCAGATTTTTATTTTTTAATTTTTTTGAAATTTGTACTCAGAAAACATTCATTTATGGGAGCCTATATTAAATAATAGCGATGAAATAACATTATAAAACATAATTATTACTTTGCCTATAACAAATTTCATTAAGAATATTTTAATGAGAAAAGTTTTGCAATTAGATAAGATAGGGTTTGCAAATAGTTAAGATAAGTTTTGCAATTGTATCCAATCAAAAAAAAAAAAATCTATGATTAACATGAACACCTAAAAAAAACTCTCAAATTTTTAATTTAACATTTTAATCAAACAACATCAACAGAATGTGAATACCATCTGATTAGTAAATTTTTATACTTTTATACTTTTTTTATAATTATGTTACATTTGATTCATACATTTTACACTTTACTTACTCTCAATAGTAAAAAATTTAACCCTAGCATGTTCAAATACAAAGTTCTTAATTTAACCCTAGCATGTTCAAATACAAAGTTTAAATAGCTCTTTGAAAATAGCTGTTTGAACCACAATCCACAATGGGCAATGTAAACAGTGAAGATCATTTGCAATATAAAACAGTGGAAATCTTTAAGTCTTTTTGATGCAAAAAATGAACATGTATATGCTTATAATAAAAACACATGGCAACATATTTATACAGTAATTTTTATAAATAGGTGATCTTTTGCCACATAAAATGGAAACTATTTATTTGTAACAAATTATTTTTTTAGGCTTTAACTACTCGTAAAATTAATTGCAGTTTTAGGCTTTAACAACTCGTAAAATTAATTGTTTTAATTGCAGTTTTTTTTATTATGCAAATACAACAACATACCACTTTAAGTAGTTTAAAAACAGACACTCAAAATCTATTGGAGCATTAATTCAACCTCTTCTTAAACCACGTGTATTCATAACTAATTTATGTTAATTTATTCTAAAAAAAGTTGAAAGAAAATGTAAATTTTAAAGTTGAGTCTTATTTTTATTGTGATTTTGAAAACACTTGTTGGTTAAGTTACAAAAATTCACACAAGGTAATCAGTATGCAAGTATATTAAATATAGAACATTTATTCAAAGAAAAATTCTGTAAAAACTTATTCTAATTAAATATTCAATTTCAAACTTTTGTATATAATTCGATATAAAAGTTTGAAATTTTTTATTCAAGTATTTAATCCTATCAGCATTTAAAATGTAGAAAATAATTGAATTAAAAATATTATAAAAATATAAAAAAAAAAAATTAAATAGATCAATTCTAAATTTCATTAAATATTAGATTATATATATTAATAACTAATATTAATATTAGTTATATTATTAATTATTATTATAAATAATAATAATAATAATTAATAATGCATTAATAATTAATATTAAAATTAATAATTGATATTAATATTAGTTATATTATTAATTATTAATTATTAATATATTAATATATTAATAATTATATATTAATAATTAATATTAGTTATATTATTAATTATTATTATTTAATTATATTATTAATTATATTAATAATATCTTATTTATTTTATTCATTAAATTATTTAAAGATAGTTTTTATATCATCATCTAAATGAAAAAACTTCATATTATTTGAAAATTTTAAAGTTGAGTCAAATATGACAAGACCTGTTCAGAATAAAAAGAATGGGTCAAACAAGACCTTTAAATCAAATAAATGCAATCAATCGAATACAATAAACAACCAACATTAGAAAAATAGAATGAAATTAAAAAGAACAGTCTAAATTTGATACCAAAAAATAATATTAAATAAAATAAATAAATGTAAAAAAACTAAAAATTAGAACATTTTTGATTAAAGCCACAAAATTATAAGTTTTATTATTTAGAATTTAGATATTACAATAAATAATCACAAATTTTATTAAACCAACATATCTCAAAATATTTTTTAAAACATGTACTGAATAAATTGGATTTTAAATGTTATCAATTTAATATCCATTGCCAATTAAAGGGTATTTTCAAATACCTCTGTTATTGCTTCGAGCCTCAATCACACTTAATGGCGTGTCAGAATCAATTGGGTACTTGTATTTCTTAGTGTTTAACCAATCACATGGAATAGAAGGCTTGTTCCCATACTTTGCGGAGTCATAAAAATACATCATGTAAAAATTGCACATTTCATCGTTATGAGTTGCTCTGAAAATAATTTTAAAAAAAAGTAACATTACATTATGCTTAAAAAATATTACCAAAATAATACTTAAAAGCTATCAATATTATTATATATACTTACCCAATTCGAGTTACTTTTTCTTGTGAAGTTGAGTTATAAGTGCAACGCCCAACCTAAAAAGGTTTTTTGAAATTTTTAAAAGTTTTCTGAAATTTAAATTTATTTTCAAAACAGAACAACAAAAAATATTAAAAAAATAACAACAGCAACTATTCCTCACAAGTTCATCTCCAGGTCGTATATCAATATCACTGAAAACTCTATAAAATGCCTAAAGTAAAGGTGTTACCAAATAATAATAAAAATATCACAATGCTTATGGCAAAATTATTTTTATTTTAATAATCTAAAGTTTACAAGTACAATTAAAAGGAAAAAAAAGGCCAAGAAGAAAAAATTTAAATTAATTTAAATGACATATAATATCTTCATTCCATATAAAAACAAAAAACTACTTGAGGTCTCTGAGGATCACCATGTCCAATTAAAGTCCATACACCATTTCTTATTCGATAACCAGTTATTGATGTTGCTAAAAATAAGAAGGTATGTAACTTATAAAAGATAAATAAATAACCAGCAACAAATTTTTACAACTAACAATAAGCATTTACACAATTTGTGCGCATGAACTCTAAACCGAAATGGGAACAACTGTGGTGAATCAATAGGATACGAACATCCCATATTAATATTAAATTCTAAAACAAAACAAATTTAGCAATTTAATTCATTATTTAGTTTATGATACAAAAATTACATTACAAAACAGTACAAATTATTAAGTTTACACTTCTCAGCATGTTACAAGAAAACAACATTTCAGTCTATAACTCAAATTATTCAGTCTATAATTTAAAATTTTCAGTAAAAAATTTAAAACTATTTAGCCTTTAATTTCAGCTTATTAAATTTTTAATTCACAACCAATAGTAGTGTCTTATTGATGTTCACTGTTATCCATCAAACTCTTATTTTATTCTTTCAATTTTAAATTCATGCAATTAAGTGAAGAAAATAGGGGAAACTAAAAGAATGACTTAATCTTACATAAACTGGTCACTATTAAACTCAAAAATTCTTTGGAAAATCAATTATCAACTTTGACTAGACACTTTTGTACCTTTTAAATTCTTAAAGGTCTTAAAGGAAATTTTTTCTGTAGATGCTATCAAATTAACTAAGAGTAGAATAAATAATGTAACAACAGCTATTTTGTTTTTAAATTATCTAAAATGTAACCTGTTTTCTTCTTTAAATTAATCTTATAGAACTGCAAACATGGTATTCAATATAGCATCAAATAAAAAGGGTTGTTTAAAGCAGTTAAAAGTATCTCAGACAAAAACTTGTAATCCACTTTTATCCTGTGTTTTGATGATACCAAATTAAGATATCTTAATCAACTGATGTTACACTGTTTGCTGTTTGCAAAAGCTATACCACACTTAAACATGCATATTTATTAAAACTTATACTCTTTTTATTTAAATTCCATTCAGCCATGTATTACACAATTTTGTCTTAAGTTGTTATAAAAGTTTAGCCGATATAGTGGTGCATTTTTCATAAAACAGTTAAATTTTAAACTTATATTAAATTTAGAGTAAATTTCATATGAAACAGTTAAATTAATAAATTGAATGAGAACTTAAAATTTTACTTTCGGTACGAGGAGGAATACTTGTGTAACCATCGCCTAAAAAGTAAATACCAGCATGATATTGTTTTCTAAATGAGAAAATAAAAACGTATATTTACACATATATATGTTTATTTTGTGTGTAAATATTCTGTTAAATTGTGTGTGCGTGTATTAGCATTTTTTTGTATATACATACATACATACATATATATATATATATATATATATATATATATATATATATATATATATATATATATATATATATATATATATATATATATATATATATGATTATTTATTTATATATGCATTTATTTAAGATGTGGTATGAATAATTTCATTTTTACGTGCCCACTTAAAAAACTTTAAATAACTTAAAGAATAACAAATAACTAATAACAACAAATAATTATATAAAAACAACTTTAAATAGTTAATTATTATATATAAGCTAAAATGTATTAATGAATTCTAAAATCATGTTTTTTTTTATAACTAAATAATATTTAAAGTGGCACAAAAAGCAAACTTGCTTATACTGTATTTTGAATAAATGCATAAATAAAAATAAATAAATTTGTAAATATTTTATTTTGTAAATCTTAATGAATGATAAAATAAATGAAAGGTAAACCAGAAAAAATAAAGCATAAATTTAATATATGACTTTATTTAACATAAAAGCGTTTCACTTTATAGAACATAGAAATGATTGAAGTTTTAAAATTATTTAATCCAAGCTTAATTACTTTAAAACTTAATTATTTGAAATTTAAAACCTCAATATTTTTTAATTTCCGCCAAGATAATGAAACATAAAAAAAAATTTATCCCTTAATAGGAAAACATGAAACAAAAAAAATAGTTAAAAAAATCCTTTTTGAACTAACAATCCCACTTCTTCAACTAAGCATCTTAAGTGCAACACTAACGTAGTGGTGGAGGTGCAACACTAACGTAGTGATGTAAGTGCTACACTAAATTAGTGATGTAAGTGCTTCACTAACATGGTGATGTAAGTGCTACTCTAATGTACTGATGTAAGTGCTACACTAACATAATGATGTAAGTGCTACACTAATGTAGTGATGTAAAAAAAATTATCAACTTGAAACTATTAAATTTAAATTGAACTAATTATTAAGTTTTAAATATTAATTGAGACGAAATTTAAAATTATATTAATTTATGTTTTTATTTTCTCTGGTTTATCCTTTATTTATTTTATAATTTGTTAAGTTCATTTCTCTTTTCAGTTTATGGTTTATTTATATATATATATATATATATATATATATATATATATATATATATATATATATATATATATATATATATATATATATATATATATATATATATATATACAGCGAAATTCAGGTCAGCATTCAGCAATGTCAACGCAAAAGCCGACCTATCTTTGCTTTAGGACAGCATACTACTTCCCACCTGAATATCCTAAAGTGTCGGTATGCAAATTGAAATACATGTAAAAAATATATAATACTCATTAAATATTAGTTTATAATTTATTTATTGTAGTTACTTGCTTTTTAAGTTTGACATTTTTTATTAAAACAAAAATCCATTCATTTTTTCAATTTATTTATTTCTTTTTTCCTCAAATTTATTCAAGCGTAGCAAGGTTAAAAAATATTACTTTTTAAATGCCTGTTGTTTTAACATTTTTTTAAGCGCAATTATTATTTTATTAAGTTATAAAATATCATTTACATGTTTACGATTTTTTAAATATAATTTAAGATCAGCAAAGTATATTAGGAGTTATGTTAAACACATGCGGAGAAGAAACGAGACATAATGCCTTAAAACGAGACATAATGCCTAACAGAACTGTCATTGAACAATGGGGGTTTAAATCTTGCGGATTTCAAACTGATGATTCAGGTGAAGTAATTTTAAGATGGTGTAAAACTTGCCAAGAATATTTAGAGCTTTTAAAAAATTGTCATAATAAAAATAAAGGCTGTGCTAAATTAGAAACAGAAACGTTTGTACAGAGAACATCAGTTATAAAAAAAAATAACTTGATGATGATTGGACAGATAAATTTGATGAGTAAATTATGAAATTACGTCAATAAGACAATCGCAATTGCGCAGAAACAATGTTTATATATAAGAAAATAAAACTATTTTTAACTTTTTTTTTCCTCCATCAATTTACATATAGTTACAAGTTCATACTATACTACAATTAAATATTAAAAAACACCCCCCCTACTACTTGAGAATTAAATGCTTATTTCTCGTAGAGGTTTTTTCAGACCTGAAATCCTTCAATTCATTCACTGACTGTGTATATATATATATATATATATATATATATATATATATATATATATATAATATATATATATATATATATATATATATATATATATATATATATATATATATATATATATATATGTATATATATATATATATGTATATATATATATATATATATGTATATATATATATGTATATATATATATATATATATATATATATATATATATATATATATTATATATATATATATATATATATATATATATATATATATAAAATACATACAGGGAGAATATTTATCGTCATCTGTTCGTAAAATATATTTGTATAATTATAACGTAACAAGTTTATATCAAGAGTTAAATTAAACGATCGCGATTTCCGAATTCTGGTAAAATATTAGATCTTTAAAATTTTAGACAATGCAAAGCTGTGTACTTTGTTTATAAGGAGCAAATTAATAAAAGTTTGCTAGCTAGAAAGTTACAAAAAGCAAAACAAAAACAATAAACTTATGACTACAAAAGTAATAACACTTTAGTCACTAACTGCATTATAAAAGTAATAAAACTATAATAGTGTTATTACATTTATAAAGCACTTATTACTTTTAAAGTTCATTCTTTGTTCAAACAACATTATTAATTCCAAACATTTATTAAAGTAAAAAAGCATCTAGAAAAAATAAAGCAGATATTCAAATATTATTAAAAATTTCAGGAACTTTCACAGATCACTTAAACAACATTATAAAGAAGTGCTTTATAAAAAGTATAGCATTATGAAAAACGTTACATAAATACGCCCGTTAATTTTAAAATCAATCAATAAAAATTTTTTATTGGTTAATTTTAAAATTAACGAGCGTTTTAACGGTCCATTTGTAACGTTTTTCATAATGCTAAACTTTTAATACATTTTTATAAAGTTGTTTGTCACATTTTTATAAGTTATTTAAGTTTTAATATTATTTGAACATCCACTTTATTTTTCTAGATATTTTTCTACTTCAATTAAAATTTGGGAATACTAATGTTGCTTGAACAAAGAATAAATTTTAAAAGTTATTAGTGCATTATAAAAGTAATAACACTATTATAGTGTTATTACTTTTGTAATGCAGTCAGTGACTAGAGTGTTATTACTTTTATAATCGTAAGTTTATTGCTTTATTTTTTATTTTTTCGCTAACAAATTTAAGTTGATTCTCCCCTTAAAAACAAGGAACACGGTTTTGTATAAACTAAAATTTTGAATACTAGATATTTTTCCAGATTTTGCGTTTCGCATTCGCTTAATTCAACCCTTGTTGTTACATTAAAATTACACATTGCAATTTATATTTTTGCTATCCTCTTAAAAAAAAAATTAAGATAAGCAAAATCATTCTTTTTATTGTAGACTTTAAACTGTTTTTTTTTATTTTGCTTCATCTTATCTAATTTTGTTGCTGAATGTAACTCTAAAGAAACAAAAATTTATACAGTAAACAAATTGTTTAAATTATTAATTTGTTTTCATTTTTTTCTATTTCAATCTCTTTTTATTTTGTTAGTTTTTTGTTTTTTTTTGTTTTTTAAACTTTTTCAGCATTATTATAAAATTTGCAAATGGCCGTGTTCAAGTTGTCTAAAATAATATACTCGTGTGTGGTCATACGAGACAAAAAACCGCACACCTTTCTTGGGAAGACTTGTATATTTATTTCTTTTAATTTGAAAAACAGTTTTATTCTAAGTAGACTACTAACTGTAGATGAAATTTTCAGAAAAAATGAGGGAGAAGGAAAATAACAAAGGAAAAACTGTCAGAAAATATGATATCACTTAGCAAACTGAGCAAACTGAGTAAGAAATGATAAAAAGAAAATTTTTCACAACTTAAAATGCATACCCACACACATTACCACTGCTGCATCTTCTAAGATGATTTGAAAAATTTTTATTTAACTTTAGAAAAGTTTATTAACTTGGCTAAATTAAAGTTTCAAAAGGTATGCAAACACACAATAAGCTGAGAAAAGGAAAAGAAGCATCATAGAAGCTATTGGCTTAAATCAGTTTTTTTAATAGCCAATGAAATTTGATGACTTGATAAACATATAGCTTACCATTTCCACAAAGACTAATATATATATATATATATATATATATATATATATATATATATATATATATATATATATATATATATATATATATATACACGCACAATTATATAAAATCATCTTTGTGTCCATAATAAAATATCACTGATGACATCGAACTGAATATATATTGCAAAAACTAAATGGAAATATTATAAAAAAATTTAAGTATTAAATTTTTACCAAATAATTACATTAAACATCACCTCAAACTTGTTATTCCAAATAAAATTCCAGAGGAATCAGTGTGTCCATCTAAATGAAAACTCATGTAAGATAACTAGGCTTGACTTCTAACAATTACAGTAGCATAAGAAAATCTTAAAAATACATATTACTACCTGCTTAGTATTTTTTATGTATTAAAATAATATTAGAACTTTATAACAATATCAAAACGTTACTTTACTGTTCTTAAGTATTTCAATATAAGAGTGTCAAAAAACAACATTTTTTTTAAAGTAGTATTTATTGTTACTATCATTATTACTAAATTTTTTACTTTTAGTTCAAGAATTTTTACCCTTTTTATCAGTATATTAAAAAAAAAGTTGCTGCTGTTGAAAATGGTCTTTTGTATTTTTTTTTTTCCAAGAAAAAATTTACTGCAAAAAACATTGTTTTGATATATAATCTATAAAACAATTTTTACCATTATTATCTTTAACATTAAACTTTCAAGATATTATAAACAAAGACTGTTTTGTTTTTTATATCTTGAATTAAGTCTCTGACGAATATCTCAGTAACTACATAACATAGTAAACAACTAAGCAACCTTTGACCTAGTCTTTTGAACTAGTCCTTCGATGCATATTTTTGCACTTTTTTAAACAAATAAGCAACCTAGCAAGTGTAGCAAAATTACTCTGAGAGCATTGAACTAATTTTTTTTTTTTAAGTTTTTCACATTATAAAATTATGTCGAAAACTTTTTTTAAAAAAATACTATCTGGTACTATTAAATAACTAGCAGGCTTCACTTAATCTGCTTAAAAAAGTTGGACTAAAGGAAGACTGAAAATCCTGATTAAAAAACAAAATCTGTGTTCATGTTTACTGATGATATTAAACTAACTTTTCAAAGTGGATTTGTTTTAAACTAACTTTTCAAAGTGGATGTGTTTTTAAAAGTTGTTAAAATCTTGTCGCAAAGTTGTACGCATGATAATAAATTTTTTATTCAGACAAATTTTAATTAAAAAAAAAAAATTAATAATTTTTTATATAAAAAAACAGCGCAAATTATAAATAGCATTTCTCTTGTTTTGTTTTATTTTAAAACAAATTCACTTCAACAAGGTTACAAGCAACCATTATTTTAAAACAAATTCACTTCAACAAGGTTACAAGCAACCATTATTTTAAAACAAATTCACTTCAACAAGGTTACAAGCAACCATTATTTTAAAACAAATTCACTTCAACAAGGTTACAAGCAACCATTATTAATGTTGGGAGTTCACAGAAAACAAACACAAAAAGTGTTTAAAAAAAAAAAGCCATTAACAGAAGATTTAAAAAAACTACAAATTGAATGAGTCAGGAAAGCATGAAGATGAGAGAATTCCAAAAGACCAATGAGGGAAAAAACTAGATTAATACAAGTTTTTTGAGCACAAAGGAACAGTTTTTGAGCACAAAGGAACAGTTACAGCAATAGGATGCAACTTAGCTGCATGATTAGTCACAAAAAACTAAATTTTGATAATGGAACAAGTGAATTATTTTGTTTCTTTTATTTAAATATGTTCACTTGGTAAATTGGTTTATTTCTTTATTAAGAATGTTTACTTGATAAGTTGGCTTAGTTCTTTTATTTGAATATGTTTACTTGATAAATTAGCTTGTTATAATTGGTTGTCTAAGCAGCAACAACTAGTTGTTGTTTTTTTTAATTAGTCAAAGTGAAGTAACTTTGGCCTTAGTAAATTTTTTAAGAATGCAAAAAAAAAAAAAAAAAAAAAAAAAAATGCTATCAAAATATCAAAACTGAATCCTGTAGTTCTTACTTCAAAGCTAGTTTAAATGCAAAACGTTGAAACATGTTCAACATATTTTATAAAACTTTGAATTCAATGCAAAGACATTATTTAATTGAAAATAGAATGAATGAATGGAATTAATGTTTTATCTATATATTTATATATTATTTTAAAACTGTTAATGTAAAGTGACATTATAAAGTTCGAACTCAAAATAAAGATTAGGACATAACAATAAATCCAAAAAATTATTGCAAGTATTACAATAATTACCTTGAAATGAAGACACATCAAGATAATGAATCTGAAGAACCAAATAACGCACATTACTGTTACCCCCAACATGAAAACCAACATCTAAATATAAAACAACTTTTATTATATACTATTTTTTACCTCAAACATTTCCGATAAAAAATCAGAAAAAATATTAAAGAAAAAACAATTTTATTATACAATTTTCTCAATAAAAAAGAAAATACAGAGCCTAAAATCTCATAAAATCATAAAATGTTAAAAATAAAAAAAATTTGTTATAAATCTTACTTTCAGGCATTTTTAAAGGTGGTGCATTTTTACCCCATGCATAAAGAATTGACTGAGAACCGCCATTACAAACAGGTTGCATCTCACCACATTGCCTAAACAAAATAATATTTATTTTGATAATAATGCATTCATATTTAAAAATATTTTTCAAAAAGTAAAAAAAAATTTATAATTTTACTTCTAATAAAAATTAAATTTTGAGCAAATAAATTTTTTTAGGAATGGAAACTAGTATAAGTTTTATTGGAACTAAATTTAGTCAACCAACTTTTTAGTTTGAGTAAATTTAGTCAACTAACTTTTTAGTCTGCTAAGATTAACTTTAATGTTTGATTGTTACCAAGTTTGAGTTACCAAGTCAGTAAATTTCATAACTTGACTAAAACTTAAACAAATTTTTTTTTAAATACTGTAAATAAACTAGGGCACCTCATCATTAACTAGGGCACCTCCTTTTACTGTAAACAATTATTATTTAGTTACCATATGCACACAATGTAATTTATGGTCAAATTGCAACAATTTATTTTTGAGATTTCTTAAAACTATTATAAAAATTTGTTACTTTTAAAAAACAGAACTATATGATCAAGAGAGCAAAAACTCAACATAATAGAATATAATTTAAATTGAAATGCATTTTGTTAAGATAAATTTTAATATCTCAACTGGTACTATTAAATAACTAGGAGGCTTCACTCAAAAACCGCAACCTGCGGCCAGGTTGTGTACACTTAAATTTATGTTGGTAATTAACTTATTGTATAGGTTATTAATACAAAACAATAAAAAAAAACATTAAAAATATTGTTAACAAAAACTAAAAATTGCTTTTCATTAAAATTAAATACTATTAAACAAATATGGGAGGCAGAGACAGGTTGTTTCTTGCAGTTGTATAAAAATAAATAATTAAAAAGATAAAGGAAAAACAAACTTTATAATAATTTTTATAATAGCTATATAATTTTTTATTTAAAATTACACATTTTTTATATTTGTCTTTCATTTTTAAATTTGATAAATTGTATTTTTAACAAAACTGAATGATATGCAAAAATCTATTTTATATTTTTGAATATTTAATCTATACTTTATTGTGATTACTTTTTTACCTATATTATTTTAATGTTATTTTACCTATATTACTTTATTGTTATTTTATTAATATTTTCAGTACTAACCATTAGCAATAACAAATTCCAAATAAACTCTTATACTAAAATGAACAAGATTTACATATAGAACAAAAAAGGACCTACAATCTACAATAGCTTAAGCTTAATCCAATCTACAATAGCTTAAGCAAACTTAATGCTACTAAGTTCCTAAATATATGAAACTATCCTTTTGACACAAACCTTTTTTTTTTTTTTTTGAAAGCATCATGCAGTCAACAGCTGTTTTCTTTTGATATTTAAAAAAATTTTAAATAAATTTATTGCATATCAAAATGCAAGAAAATAAAAAAATATTTGTGGTTTACACATGAATGTTTTATGGTATGTTCACTTTTAAATTTTTATTTAATACTATTAAATAACTACAACAATTATTTAAACTCATTATAAGAATTTTATTGGTCTCCTTACATCTTGTATAATCTCTTTATAATAATTAATAAAAAAAATCTTTCCTAAAGTTACATGAAAACAAAGCAGCACAATATATATTTAAAAACATAATAGAAAAATATGCTTCAAAAAAACACAACTATACCATGTTTTTTTTATTTCCAAAGGTTCATCGTCGCTACAACCAAACAATAACATATGATGAGCAATGTGCATGCTAGCCTTTGGAACAAACTCCACTAAATGAAGTAAGTTTGCATATTAACTTAAAAACAAAAAAATACAATACTAAAATATATTAGTTAATTTTTACTAACCTAAGTACCTATCATCATTTGGTAAAACACGAGCAATGCATACATAGGAATCAGGCTGAACAAAAAAAAATTAACATCTATAAACAACAACAAAATTTAAAAAGTGTGTATATATATATATATATATATATATATATATATATATATATATATATACATATATATATATATATATATATGTATATATATATATATATATATATATATGTATATATATGTATATATATATATATATGTATATATGTATATATATGTATATATATATATATATATATATACATATATATACATATATACATATAAGTGTTGCACATCGCTGCCCCTTGAACCATTTAAAACCTGCTAGAACAATGGTTAAATGCCCTGATAAATCAGGTCTCAAAAATATTCTGGGGGGTGCTGATAGCCAAACAGAAAAAATTTCTGAACTGTTACACAACAAGAACTGCAAGAAAAACCTCACTCATCCACAGTAAATAGAGTGGCATATGAGCCAGGTGTTTTAGCATTGGCTCAGGCTGGTGAGGCACTTTTTCATTGTAAATGTGCAACAGTAGTGTTTGATGCAACCACTATTTTAGACAAACATGTAAATGAGTTTCTTATCAGTACCTATCCTCCGCAAAGATGATATTCCTTATCAACTGCTAAACTTGCTGGAGGTACAGGATTTGACTATGCCACTCATATTGTCAGTGTAATAAAAGAACTTGCCAATACATTTGCAGAGTTTAAAAATATCCCAGCAGTAGAAGTTTTAGACGTATTCACTCAAAAAATCAAAAGTTGTCTATCAGACAGAGCACCTGTTAATAGTTGTGTGAAAAACATGCTTCAGGAGGAGATGGACATTCAATTAATTCAACTGCACTACAATGTTAATCCATTGGAAACTATTGCCTTAGAAGCATTATTAGCTCTTAAAACAATAGATAATGAGTTGAAGATAAAACCGGCTAAAGGAACTGTTACTGCAACAGTAACAGTCCTCAAAAATATTTCTAAGCTAATCTTTTATATGTATATCTTTCATTATTTAAATTTTTTTTAGTTTTATTTTCTTGTGAGCAATTATTTCTTTATTATTTTGACGTTTTGAAAATTTGAAATTTTAATTTTTTTGCCCTTTAAAAATCAGGTATAGTTTTAAAGGCGATCCTGCAGCATTCAAAAGCTATCTTAAAAAAAACAATGTTGCTCCAGGCCTATTCCTTAGATATGTTGGTAGTAGATTTCATGTTTTGTTCCATATGGCAGAAATTGTTGTTGCATATGAAAGACTTATAAAAATCTTTATTGAAAAGTACGGTTTTTTTAGATGAATATTACGTTTAACAGAATCCCATGTATTAACATTTTCTCGTTTTTTTAGCAACACCAATAATAAAATTTGCCAGCTCTTACTTCAAGATATGAGTAATGATATAACGCTTGTGCAACTGCATAGGTTGGGCCTGATAAGAAAAATAATAACTGGGCCATGGATGAGTCTGGTTTATAAAAATGCAGCAGGAAAGAGTAATCTTGAGTTTGTAAGTTTTTAAAGGGATCCCTAACTGCAGAGACAAGTTGTTTTCATATTAAAGAAAATGTTTAAAAAAAACATTTGGGCTGAATGTTTTTGATTGAAAATAAATAATGAATGCATACCAACAAAATAAAAATTATTTTTTTAGCTGAAGCTCACTGTCTCCATTTGTTCTTGGTTCTCGGGGTCTGTATAATGTTAGCGGCAATCTGCAGACTTGATAATTTATTCAATGCGTGTTTAATTCATAACAGTTTCGGTATACAACGCCATCGCAATATCTTTTTAAGATATTGCGATGCAATATCTTTTTAAGATATTGCATTTTTTTGTTGTTGTTTTTTTAAAAATAAAAGTATTTTTTCTACTACAATCAGAAAATCAAATATTTGTATAATTTTTTACTAAATCACAAAAAATATTTGTGACAGTAAAAAATTAAACAAATATATATATATATATATATATATATATATATATATATATATATATATATATATATATATATATATACATATTTTGTGATTATTAGAGTTTGCAAGCAGAGAAAAAATAAAGGCAGTGTGATGTGGTTTTTAGCTTTATATTTAGTTCATATGGTTCAATAGAGTTGTTCATTTTATATTTAATTTACATTTAGTTATGGTTTAACTCTTTCATTACCGCAAGCCACTGGTAGCGGCTTTCAAGTATGCTTTACAATTTATCTTGTATTGTACATAAATTTCCATTCTAGACACATAGAATTTGTTTGTTTTGAAGGTTTAATTAAATCTCTACATAATCAAGAAAAATTAAGAGCTATATCGTGTAATTATAAAAAAGTTATCACAAAGTTAAAAAATCTTGAATAATCATAAAAAAACTTCATAAAAAACTTTAAATTTAATTAAAAAAATAAAACACTGTAAAACTTGTAGATGTGTTAAGTATTTAGTTAAGTAATTACCAAAGTATTTTAAAGAAAAAATATTATTTTTATTCATTAAATGAGGTTTGATTTAGACTTAATGTTTTATTTACTACTTACAAAAATAATAGTTTTAAGCACTTTGCATTTATTATTGTTTAATGATGCGTGTTAAAAACTTTATTATTACCGAATTTTAATAAATTGTCAATGTTATGCTATTCAAATGTTATTCAAATAAATGTGTGTTTGCTACAAAAAGATTTTTGTAGCGAACAATTTAAAGCGATTCTTTGTTTTTATATTTATATTTTATACACTTACTTGTATATTTTAGTACAAATACTTGTTTTAACTTTAATTTAGTTTGATTTGAACGGTTATTAGTAAAATAAGTTGTTTAATATTTATTTTTTACTTAGTTTAAATTATGTTTTATTCAAGTCACTCGTTTTTTTTTTACAGTTTATGCTATAAATTGATTTATACGCTTTTGTAAAATTATTCTTTTAGTATCTAGCTTATATTTAGTTTAAACCACTACATTTACTGTAAATATTCGTTGTATATTAAATTTTTATTTTTGTAAATTTTATAAAGTTTGCATCATAAATTTATGATGCAATAATTGCATCATAAATTTTTTGATAAAAAAATAAAAGTTTAAATTTTTTATGAAGATACCTATATATATATATATATATATATATATATATATATATATATATATATATATATATATATATATATATATATATATATATATATATATATATATATATATATATATATATATATTACAAACTCTATCCAATAACGTCCCAGCACATCAACACCTGATGAAAACATTGAAACAGTAAACAAAAATGTTTTGAATATTTGTTGAATTACTATTAAAGAAGTTTCTGAAGATTTTTACAACGCCAACATTCTCAGTTAAATAGTTAGACACCTGAACTTCATGCATAATAATAATTTAGACACTAAAAAATTTTAAAAATATATTTATTTAAATATAATGATTAATCTCTGCTTTAAAACTTAATTTTATGAAAAGATAACAAATTTATCATCCAGCTCTTCTTAAGTACATTTTGGTCAATAAATAAAATCTTCAAGTGCATTTTTAACACAATCAATTTTTATCCAACAAATAGTCATTCTTAAAGCCATTGATTATTGCAAAAGTGTCTTCTAGGCAAAGATGACTTTTTGGAGTACCATTTACTACTGGTCTTTCATGGAAACAATATATATAATTAATTACTAAATTAGCACCTGTTAAGGTTGCTTCTCTCTATCGTGCTCTTGTTTTCTTTTTCCTGATTCCATTCTCTACCTCTACAAATCTCTAATTTGTCCCTGTTTAGAATTCATTTCTTATTCGCCCCTGTATGGAATTTATTTTTGGTATCTCTTTACTAAATACACCCATTAATTGCTTTGCATGAATGGGTGTATTTAGAAAAGAGATACCAGTGATGCACATTGTTAATACTGTAATATCTACGCAAGCCTAGATCAACAAGGATAATCAACCTAAAATTTTTTTTTCTTCTGGGTTTTTGCCTAGAAGGCAGAAGTTAATTAAAAAACACTTTTTACAAGACTTTAATTTAAAACACCTACAATAGTTCCAACTATTCTAGTTTAACAAGTAAATCTAAATCTATTTGGTCAACTCTGCGATCGACTAAATTAATTGTAAAACTTTGTATAAACAGTTATAAAACAGTCTTTGAAGTACTATTTTAATTATTACAATATTTTTAAATTTAACTCAATTTAAATGCTGTTGCAAAAATTAAATCAAATAAATGCTGTTGCAAAAATTAATCTGTCAATGCACTAACTTTATAAATGAGCATCTTCAATGTCAAATGTACTTGCTTTGTAAGCAGGAGGTTTTAAATTCTAATACATAACTTGTTTATTCGTTAAGCAGCCTACTTTATCAAGATTCCTAAAAGGATCTGAGAGATTTTTATGTTTGTATATAACAATAAGACAACAGTTTCTTGTTTTTAATTTAAAAATGAGAGTATTCCTCTACTATAATAGCAATTGATATATCAGCATAGAAATAAATAATATGTGTATATAAGCATAAATATGTTCACATAGAAGCTAGCACATAAGATCAGCATAAATAAATGTACAACAGCTGACAAGTTTTGGTAAAGGAGAGCAGTAAATATTTAGCAGATTAGTAAATGATAAACCAATATGTAATAGTTTTTTTAAATTGCTATGTCATAAAAAAGTAATAAATTAGAATTGTTAATGTATTTTTATAACACTTCAACATCAAATTAAAGCGATTTATTTTAAAGAACTTTGACACGTGTTTTCTTTTATTTTAACAAATAACTTTTAAAATCTGAAACGGCAACTTAAAAAAACTATTAAAGAAGTTATTTCTAATAACTACAAAAGTATTGAGATAAAATATTTTATATTTTATCTCAATACTTTTGCTGGTATAAAAGTAAAAATTAAAAAAAAAAAAAAAAAAAATGATACTAAACAATATAAATTACTAAAATGATATAAAAACTTTACAAAGATTACTTGTTTTGGTGAAATTTGAGGCATTTTCAATGATAACATCACAGTTTCAGAAGTATCACTGAGATTATTTAGGCTTTCTTGCTCATCATCATCATCATCATCATCAACAAGCTTTCTGCTGCTAATGACATCAGATAATTTCTGATCAAAATCATAGATTTCAGCTTTTTTGTCATTCCCATAATCATAAATAAAACTTCTTCTTATATCATCATGGTATTTGTTTTGAGGAACCAAATTATCCTCTTGACTTCCTCTGATGAAACGATCGTATTTGAGTAATCGTAGTAGGTTGTTTAAATCTTTTACAAAACTTTTGTCACATGAAACATGAACACAAGCAAAAACCAAAAGCAGTAACACTGGTAATGATGTCATAGTTAAAAAACTTTATGTATAACTAATCTTCAGTTTTGTCAATCTCATTTAAGTTATTTATATACAAATATATATACAATCTCTAAACAAAAGTTTTTGGTTAGTTTTCTCTCGCAAACATACTATATAAATATAAAAAAAGCCCTCAAATTTTTTTTTATAAATTAACATAAAATTTATTTGAATATGGTAAATTATTATAATAAAATACGATTAAGGTATGATAAAAAAATGTCACAATAATATATGATAATTTTTGATTATTTGAATAATTACTTAAAAAATTAAAATCCTAAGAACTTTCGTAAAAAATGCTTCTAAATCATTTTTTATAATAATCCAATTTTATAATGAATTTACTTTAAATTTACGTTAAGTTTGTTTAGTAAAACAATTGTTTGTTTTTATGACAACAAACGGACTTAAACAACCGTCTTGTTTTTCTTCCGGTTTACCATATTGAAAAAAATCAAAACATCTGCGAACAACAACGTTATGCTATTGGATAAAGTAAAGATTAAATCATGCGGTTCTGAGGCAAATTTTAAAGCCTGGAACTGGGAGAAAACTCAGGCTTTGCTAAACACGGACAGCTAAATAAAAAAATAGTTACTTTTTTAATTAGCTGAGCAAATAAAAATTGCTAAAATTACTTCTTTTATAGTTTGAATATAGTTTATTTGAATCTTTATTCTGATAATTGGTTATTAAATATAACCAATTGTCAGAACAAGAAGAAAACTGTTCGTTTTATTACAGAACCACGTTACCGCTTCATAACAGGTTGTTTTTTTAGAATAAAGTCAGCGATGGCTTCAGATATTTTTGGTGGTGGTGAGAGGGGATGGGGGAATTTAAATTATTTTTTTATTGCACACTTTGGCGTTTTCTAATAAAAATCATTGAATAAAGTACATAAAATTGTTATAAAAATCTACATAATTTACCAAATATTTAAGAAATGTGTTAATTATGTTTCAATATAAAGTATGTTTAAAGGTTACAGTTGGTATAACTCTAAGATGTAAATCCACCCTAGCTTTAATATACTATAGCTAGTGTATAATACGTTATAGCAGACTATTCTCTTTATCAGCATAAATCCTTTTGAGCACAAATAAAAATAAAATAATTAATGAAAAAGATAGCAAGTAATAGAAAAACGCTTTTTTTGCTAAGAAGAAAAAATAAATTAATATGTTTAAGTCCACAGATAATAAAAACGCTTCGATTCATTTGAATTATTCGATTTATTTGAAGTATTCAGGTGTATTTTTCTTATTATTAACAACCTGGAGGAGGCGGAGGGAGATTATACTTACACTAATAAGGTCTAAGGCTCAGATGGTATTTAGTTTAACAAATTAACAAGAAAATTATTAATTGATAAAAAAAAATAACATTAAAAACATAGCAATTAAGACTCCTGTGTTCTCAGCCCTTACATTTTTAATATTGCTTTAAATTTGACAGAAAACTGGTTTAAGTTTACTTGTTGTGTTAACTTGACAAAAAACTTAATCGAAAAAAACTTTGTTTTCGAAAAAAGTTTCACATACGTGGCTAATTTTTAACTACAAAACAATAATAAACTTTTTAATTATTCATTAGTTGCCTTTTAGATGACGTTCTGCTTTTTATAATTAAACTTTGCTTTTTATTGATATTTGAGAAATAAAATACTTTACTTTTTATAGGAAATGTGTTTTAATAAATAAGAACAAAGTTTTAAAAAATTTAGTTATTAAATTGGAGACTTAACAAGGTATTATAATACAATAAAACAACTTTGTATTTTTGGTTTGAATTCATTTTTTCCAATTTGAATTCATTTCTAAAAAGTGTCTCCATTCGCCCCAGCTTACTCTATGTATATACTCTATATAGTAAATGTAAATACTTTAATACAAAAAAAACGTTTTTCTATTTACTTACTTTTTAAAAAAATTTTATACAAAATCCTTTATTTTAACAAGATAAAGTTTTTTTAATTTTTTATAAGTTATTTTTTTTTTACTTTTTAAATAAATTTCATTTTAAAGGTTTGCCAATTTCCGGTTTAAATTTTATCTCCTACCTATTTTATGTTCAAAATTACTTGTTAAAATAGTTTTCAAACAATTATGTCAAAATTACTTTTTTTATCTCATTAAAAAGCGGAACCAAATATGTAACAACTATAAATTATGTGCTCCTTGATTGTACGTAATTGATTAATCGTGATGCTGCTGTGCTCAGAGCACTTGCAAAAGATGTCCGGTTTAACAGCAACCTCTGTAAGGAAGACGGTGGAAACTTCCTCATTAAATGTTCTTTAGTGTTGCTCTGTCACAAGACCATATGGTCATCATGAAGGATATTAATAACAAAGAATAAAGTAAATTAATCTTAACTTTTTTGAGGGGAAAAAAAAGAGTTTTTGAACTTATTCTTGATAATTTTGATCTTAAACAACTCATAATTTTAATTTAGAAAATGTGTTACTTAATTGAAGGTCCCACTCATTGCAGCCCAATCCTCAAACTCCGTAAAAAGTTTCCGTGAAATTAACTATTAGTATTTACCCAATTAGAATATTAGTTTTTAATAATGGTTTCACTCTTACGAAAACATAGTATCGTTTAATAGTAGTAGTATAGTTTTATATTCAATTTTCGTATAGAGTGTGAAATCAATAATTAAAGATTGCAAAAATATGTTATATTGCCCGTGAAATTAACGCGTTTTTGGTTTAGGCCTGGATCGTGACGACACGTGTTTTAGTTCCTAAAAACTAGATGTGCCAGATGAGAAATAACGTATTAAGAGTTAAACTATTTTATCTGTATTTTATTTTTAACTCGTACGTGATAATTATCACGTAGAATAGAGTGGAGCGCGTGCTGTTTGTCATAACTAATTAATAAATAGACAAATTTTCGTGCGGTGATAAAAAAGTAAAAAATTTTAGTATAGCTAACTAGCGTGTCTACACTCAAGTAAAAAATAAGTCTTGCTTAAGTAAGCAAACTATATTTTATTTCAACAATTTAACAAAAATGCTCTTTTGTTAAAGTGTTTTAATATCTTATTTAGGATAAATTAATAATAATAAAAAACTTAAACTATAATATTAAGTTATATTATTCTACCTTAAATTTATATTAATGAATAATTTTAAAATTTCATCAAATAATAATTTAGCGTTAGAATGTTATTCACTTATTTAAAACCTGGTAGTAGGAGGCATTCATTGTGATATACTGAGAAGATTTGCATCTTCTTTTCAGTATATCACAGTTGCCTTGTAAAAATATTTCAGAAAAATTTATACTTTCTTCACGAATTTTATAGCCATTGTAAAACACACGCTTGAAATGAATGGATTATTATTAATATTTTTTTATCTTATTTTTTTATTTTTTGGTTATAAGAAAAAGTCTTATCACAGAGCACCACAGAGAAGCATGTAACCAGGAAGTTCACGTTTATTACCTAATAGAAAACTTTTTTAAATTTTATGGTCCTAATGACAGATTGTGTGTGTGTGTGTGTGTTTATATATATATATATATATATATATATATATATATATATATATATATATATATATATATATATATATATATATATATATATATATATATATATATATATATATATATATATATATATATATATATATATATATATATATATATATATATATATACAGAGCCGTCCTTAGAAAATGCAAGGCCTGGAGCAAAACATTTTTGCGAGGCCTTTTTGAAAGTCATTATTTTAAGCGCTTTAACGATGAAAAACTTTTTCTTATACTGTTTAAAAAGAGGTCGTATAAGTGCAAAACAAAAATTTCGGGTTAGTATAATTTTGAGTTGTTATTTTCGTTTAGGTTTATTAAAAGAGCTGATGGCTTTATAAAATAATCTAGAGTAATAACAATAAAGTTTATTCTTAAAGTTATTAAAGGCCAAGTAATGTAAAATAAATAATAATTTTTGTTTGACAAGAAATAAATGAATTAGAATAACAAATAAATTTTTCTTTTTTTGGTTATTATTGAATAATCAGTTATAAATAATATAACATATTTTTACAAAATTGTAACCTTATTTGCACGTATTATGTTTTCAGCAATCGATATGAAGGGTGCTCATAGGTAGGTTGATGTTATACAATAAGTGTTCTCAATGTAAAATACAAGACATTAATTTTATAATAGAATACTGGCAAATATTTATAATAATATAATACAGTGTTATTAATACTGTAAAAACAATTGTGCAGGGTTAGATAATTTTTAAATTTGCGTCAAAAGGATGAAAACTTGATGTCACAATTGATAGCCTTTTTTAACCCATGAACGAACTTAATTATGTCTTGATAAGTTTCAAGCATAAAAAACCTTAAACATTAACCTTTCTCTGCTTGGCTTCTTTGAAATTTGGCTTTAACCAAGAGTTTCACTAAGTTCTCTTGCTAACAATATTGCCGTCACAAAACCTAAATCTAAATTTCTGAAAGCTTTAGAAGCTAGCTTTTGAAGTAACTGCGACGCAACTCCAAGGTGCATTTTTTGAGTCTGCAAGCTTTTTTTTTTCATAACTTATTTCATATAACAATTCATAACTGATGGTGTTTCACTATTGGCTTTTTTTTTGGATCCTCAGTGAACTCAACTAGTTCAACTAATGCAGAATGAACTTCCTTAATTTGATATCGAAGCGCTTTTAAGCTCTCCAGTTTACTTTCCCAACAAGTGTCACAGGATATTTTTACAGTCAGATTTAGTCACAGGATATTTTTACAGTCAGATTTAGTCACAGGATATTTTTACAGTCAGATTTAGTCACAGGATATTTTTACAGTCTGATTTAGTCACAGGATTTTTTTAAAGTCAGATTTAGTCACAGGATATTTTTACAGTCAGATTTAGTCACAGGATATTTTTACAGTCAGATTTAGTCACAGGATATTTTTACAGTCAGGTTTAGTCACAGGATATTTTTACAGTCAGATTTAGTAAGTGTTGAATAAAATTTGCCATTGCATTTTTGACAAAGAAAAAATCACATAAATTCTTTGCACAATACCAAAAATTGTTATAGACTT